ATACCTCGCCAATTCCAGGACAATTGTTGATCAGCACCGGTTTCCTAGCATATTTAAGAAATAATAATAGAGCAATTTTAACTTTTTAACTTTAAAGGGGAAGTGATATCACTTTTATCACTTTTTAACTTTTCTTTCAAAAATAGATGGGAAAACTGTCAAATAGGTCCTCGAACTTTCATAAAAGAGTCAATTAAGTCCTTCTATAGGAGACTCTGTCCGGTCGTCGCGATTTGGGGCGGTTCCCGGTGGAATTTTTTGATGAAATTTTTTGAGCATCTTATTCATCAAGTCTAGTTTACTCATACCAAATTTCAGCTAAAAAATTTAATCTGGAGCGCATTCAAATTAATTCGAGAACGCAAAAATGCGCAGTTATCTTCAAGAATTAATTTGAATGTGTTCCGGATTGAATTTTTAGCTGAAATTTGGTATGAGTAAACTAGACTTGGTGAATAAGATGCTCAAAAAAACTCATCAAAAAATTTCATCGCAAACTGCCCCAAATCGCGACGGCCGGACAGAACCTCGTATAGAAGGACTTAATTAACTTTTTTATGAAAGTTCGGAGATCTATTTGACGGTCTTCCCATTCTATCAGATGAGATAACTTTTTCTTTTCACAAATGAATGATGTGTCCGTATCCCATTCACTGGAATTCAAAGAAGCGCACGTGAAGCGCGGGAAGATCCCACTTTAACATTATACTCCGTACAATGCATAAACTAAGCTGCCAGGTTTACTTTTTTTTTTTTTGAAAATAGCTCGCTGATTTACTTAATTTTGTTATTTTTATAGAAAAAATTGTACAAAGTACGGAAATGTAAAATAATTAGAATAATCAAAAAATTAATTTAAAATAACAAGTTTTGTAATGTTATTTTTTAGAAGCATTATGTACTCCATAATTTACAAAATGAAATTAAAAAAATAATGAATAAAGCAATATATATATATAATCATAAAAAAGTAAAAAAATACTAACTTTCTCAAAAAATGAAAAAACTTAAATTAATCTTTAAAAATTGAAATCTTAAACTTTCTAAAAATAAAATAAAAAATTTAAAATATAAAAAAACATGAAAATAGTGTAAAAACCGAGAAAACATTAGAACGAGTCAAAGTCTTAGCATAAAAGCTAGATAAAATAATAAAAGTTCAAATAAATATATAAAAGTGTAAAAACCGAGAAAATAAAAAAGTATAAATTCAAATTTATATAATAAAAAATACATTACATAATTTTTCTAGTAAAATACATAAAAAAAATTATTAAAAAATCAGAAAATTAATGTAACTTTAAAGTGTGTAAAATTAAAATAAACTCATAGAATTAAAATATCATAAATTAAAATGATGAACTTGAAAAATAATTACATATCCCAAAAAATTTAAAAATAAGAATTTTCTAGTTTGATTTTTCTCAAAGTGCTTAAAATTTTAATTATTACTATTATCACTTTAGTTTTTGTTTCTTATGATTTCTTATCAATAAAAGTTTGTTTTTGTTTCTTATGATTTCTTTTTGTTTCTATTTGTTGATAATTATGAAATTTTTGTTTTTATTGTTTTGTTATGTTTCAAGTTGCTTTTCATATTCATTAATCGAAATTTAACATTTTAGGTGTTTGTATCTAAATGGTTTTGACTAAACCTACATAGATATTTCTATTTTAAAGATGTAGAAAAATAAATAGAAATCCAATTAAACAACAAAAAAACAAAACCAACAATAAACAATCATAAGAAACACAATGCAACAAAGAGTAACAATATGCAAAACAATGCAACAAAATGCAATACATGTACTACAACAAAAAGCAACATAAAATAATATTATTATATTCAATTCAATAAATATTCAATTCAATCTATTATTCCAATTTAGTACATTTATCTACGTAGTATTATACTATTTGGCTTTGCTTGTTATTATTTCTTCATGTAGGCACTAGGCAAATAGAAGTATATTTGTTGTCTTCTTTGTTCTCTCAGCTAGCTAGCTGGCACTTAGCCTATATAAAAACCTGAACACTTAGATTTCTACCTGACGTATTTGCCGTTTGTTGCATTATTTTTTATATGGTTGCTTTTTGTTTCCTTTTGTTTATTTTTGTTGATGAATTTTCAAATTTTGTTTCTTATTGTTTTTTCTTGTGTTTTTTTTTTATGCAATTTTGTCACTACACACACATGTATAGAATCATTAGAGTGTATTTGCACCAAAATAGAAAAAATAACTGGAAACATGAATACAAAAATTAAGAAAAATAATGAAAATCAAGCATTGATCATTATCAACAAAAAGAAACAAGATGCAATAAAAAGCAACAACATGCAACAAAAAGCAACATAATAAAACAAAGAGAAGCAAAAAGGAAAAAACAACATAAAATACACACATTTAAATTGGCTTTGTAATATTCATCATTAGAATTACAATTATCATTATGCAATATATAAGAGTACAGTACATACAATATCCATTTCTAATACATATTAGCAAATAACCTATAACATATATAGTACTTTGTATAAGGGGCGGAGCCAAGGGGGGGTCAGGGTGGTCAACCGACCCCGCTGAAAGTTTGAGAGTATAGAGCTCTGTAATATCTTCGATTTGATATATTATGACTCCCGTAACTCATTACGAGTAAAAAGTTATGACTTCTGGAAAATCTGCACTATCTAAACGTAAAATCATCAAAATTTGACGCAAAATATAGATTATTTTTCCAAATTTTAAAAATAAGGTATAATTCACTCAATACGTACGTGACACGACTCAAAAATAGAGCAAAGACAATCTATCTTATTGCTACGAGTGCCTTTTCATCTAACCTGCATATAAAATATTCAACTCAGTCATTGTTTAAAAACGATCCACTGTTTTCATTCTAAATATAGGTTGAGTTTCGACCCCCCGGAACCGTTTTTCTGGCTCCGCCGCTGAGCAGACTTGCAAATATATAAACTACAAATGTCTCTAACAACTTTTATTTCAGCACATCCTAGCTAAATCCCTCGAATCAAGATCAATTAGATCGGCTTCCAGAGATAGAAGTCTCAAGCTTGCTATATTCCAAATGCATATACTCATTACTGGGGAGTGGAGGAGTTCCTAAATTTCAGCACATAGGTAGTTGTTCGAGTTCTCTCCGAGAATCTTCGAAATCTGGGTTAAAAATGTGATCCTTTAAAACGAGAGAGTTCTCATTTTTCAAATCTTTCCAACTGCAAGTAGAAGGCAAGGTTACTTTGTTTTTTTCTCAGAGTTCTGTTACAAATAGATTGCATTGAAAACAAATATGGTCTACTTTGTCAATATATACATAAAGATGGTTTCTTGTAATATCACCGACTACAGTGCACATGAAAGTAAAAATAACTCTTCATGTAGGTGGTCCATGCCGGCACTTAAATTTTGGGTTCAAAAATATTGTTATTCAATCATTTTTCTTAAGGGGACCCACACCATGGATCGATTTGACTCTGATACCATGTTAAGACCCGGGGTTCCATCCTAAAAGGTCAACCTGATAGAAGAAGTAGTCCATGTTTTAATATAGCACTTCGATGACTCAATCATTTCGGGTGTGGGATTTAACAGAAACCAACACTTATACAACTTTGCAAATTAGAAAGACTTACAGGTGTGTATGTCTATGTAAAAACAAAATGGTGGGGGTTCGATCTTATACAGTGAGAAGAATGTTCAAACTGTTGGAAACTTAAGGAGAAAATATGAGGTTATTGCATGACATTTTAAGCTTTTAGCTTGACTAAGATACCTAAGGAACTGTGGACTAATGAAGAATCATATGTAAGGATAAGTAGTTACTTAAAAATGAGATAATAATGGCAAAAGCGGCACACAAAGGCCTTGTATCCATGGCCAGTAACCCTTGTGAGCTTCTTTTCAATTCAATTTTTGTTTTGCATTACAATTTGGCGAGTAGCTATATAAAGCATGTTGTTTGCATACACTTTGGTTGTATCTGAGATTTTCTGAACTTGTTTTGTTTACTTATTTATTGACTCCTTGGCTAAAACAATTCTCTAGTTTGTTAGATAAACTAAACATGTGTGAGTTTGATAAATTCTGTATAACAATTAACAACCTAAACCTAGTGTTATCTTTGATGTGGTGTATGCATGTTGTTAGGTAGAAGATCGCTAACAGTGGCCATAATGAATACTTAGGAAGTGATCCTAGATCACACTTCACACCTTGATGATCTTGTTTGTTTTGATCTTATACGATGATTGACTTGTTTATTTCAACAAACACTATGAACAGCGGAAAAAGGATTTAGGCAAGAGCCATTTTTCCTGCTGCTTCTATATCTTTACAGTGTCATGCATCTTCAAATGAGCAGTCATAAACCAAGGAACACTCACCTTCATTTATTGAAACGCAGACAAAGTATGCAGACAAATTATGTAGAGGTATTAGTGTATTACAACCTATCATAATTAAAGCAAACAACATCATCAAGAGATTACCAATTTTAGGGAAGCATAGAGAGCTCGATTTTGTTTGAGACTTTGAGCCATGAATTGAGAGGGTAATGACTAATGAGTAGAAATTGAGCCGTGAATTGAAAGGGTAATCTGCTTCCCATCTCATACTCAAATTTCAATAGAGAGCTAGATTTTGAAGAGAAGAAATTGATGGCTAATGCGATGAAGGTTAACTCTGTTCTACATCTGAAAGCTCTCACCTGGAAGCCGGAGGAAGTTCCACTATTCGATCGGCAACGGAAACACATGGAGGCATGAGTCATCCACTCTTTCTTCCCGGCCTGCTGGATGCCATCAGATCGATCGATTGGCAATTAGATCGGCGAGTGAAATAAAAAAAAAATCTAAATTTGAATTTTGAAAACAGAAACGTTTAAAAGTGAAAAGAGAAAGTAGTGGGAACATAAATGATATGTGGTACATAAAACTGAACCATGGTGAAAGCAAACAAATCAAAGCTAGTAAAACTAGTAAATGTTTACACACCAATAATTGTATTGATCAGGACCAATAATTGTTTTTACCAGCAACAGAAATTAGAAGATACTCATAAACATCTAACAAGAAACTTCATAAACCACTAATCTAACAAAGGAAACCACATAAACAAAAACACCATAATCTGATAACTTAAAAACAACATTGCTAATAATAATCATAAGAACCACACTAATTTTACATTCTAAACATATAAGATTCTAAATCAAAGAATATCATCATAGGCAACGAGCTCCCTGCCCTTGAATGGATCCCCTAACCTTGCAGCAATCCCACCTCGATTCTTATAAGTATTATTACTATTTGTATTGTTGTCATCTTTGGGGTTCACAATATCTGAACCCAGCCTGTTACCTCTCCCATGCCTACTTAGAGGCACCTCTGCTCGAACCAACTTAGACGAAACTGCCAATGTTCCTTCTCTCTTAGATGCCCCTTCCTTCCGTTCTGGCAATGGATCACTTGCCCACATTACTTGCACCTAACATCACCCAAATAAATAATAATAATAATTAAACAAATAAAAAATTAATCAATGGAAAATGTAAGAGGAAAAACCACTCAAAGAGACCTGTAACTTTTCAGAAAATTAACATGAAAAGATAAGATTTTATGCAGCTTGAATAAAAGAAGAGATCAGAACCCAGAAATGTTCTCATTTGGTATAATAAATTGTTTCCCGTTTCCTTGCTCATTTCATCATTTAAGCATTTTTCATACTTATTCCATAATCCGTATTTTGGCATGTGGAAAGCTTCTTCTTCCCAAGTGCTGGAATTCCTAAACCATGGGAAGAAATCTTCTCATACTTCATAAAAAAATTCTTGATCTTTGAATCAACTTATGCCCCCAATAACTTCATCTTCTCGAACACGCAACTGAAACTTTACGGGAAATCTCAGGTTGTCTGTTGACATTCTAAAGTTTAAATACCAGATTATTACCATAATCAATTCACTAAATAACTAAATAATTTTACTTTGTACAAACCTCATCAGTTTTCAAGATTTTAGTGCTAAATAATCGATAATGTGTGCATGAAAGATCTAAATTGTCAAATACTACCTGTTCCTAAATAGCTTCTAACAATGATGACAAACTCATTACTAAAGTTAAAAAAAATGACTTAATTAATGTGGAAAAGGAAAGTTGAATATTAACTACACAAATTATTTCAAGAGAAACCCAAAAAGAATAGAAAATAAGGATAAAAGAATTTAGACATTACAAAAAGAAAATAGGAAGGAAATTATAAGGTAGAGGAAGTAATACTTTTGCATGACTAGTTTGTTCATCTTCATAACTAGCTTAGAAAATCTAAAATGCTTTCTTAGTATTATTTTATACTACTTCTTTATCTATTAACAATTGATTCATTCATCTACAAAAAAATGAATGAACATTTTGGTTCGATTTCATATGTATCTTATTTCTATGGATAGATTTCTTTGATTTGTTCAAGGAATCTCAAATTGAATAAGTAACATACTTATAATAAGTCATACAATTTTTCTTGTAATAAAAAATTGTTGAGGGAGATTTAAAAAATTTATTGGGACAACATAAAGTTTTCATTGGGAGCAAACTATTTTTTACAATAAGTCACCTAATTATATGCTAAAATTTAGAAAATTTATTGGGGCACTTGCCCCCTACTTACATAGTAGATCCGCCCCTGTTCTGCTTTGCTCTACTTAGCTAGGGTTTCCGAAATTGATGTTCTCTAATTAGCTCATCGACGCTAAGGTATATATTCAGGGAAACTAACGAACAATGAATTGGGGGTAAATGAGCTTACTGGTTTGGAATGAAGAATAATGGGGAAAGTGGCGTCAGCAGAAGCAGACATGGCGGACTCTGCAGAATCTTTGGACCGGAAGGTGATGTATCCGATCCCAGTGGGGTCCATTCGGGTGCGCGAGATTGAGCCGTATATCTCAAACCGAGACTTTAGGTCTAAGACCGAACAGTCTGCCGGAACCCCAATAATAACCACCGTCGTCGGTAGTTTTGAAGAAGCCGGGGAAGTTTCCGGCAAAAGATCGTAGTTTGCGGCGACGGTGCTGGCCTCGGCATATGCCGGCGGTGGAAGAGGACGACGCCGTTTAGGGAAGGAGTTAGGAGCATGGTCGTATTGAGAGTGTCTGTCTCTCTTTCGACCCATTATTTTTGTTTCTCTTTTCTTTTTTTGCAGGTTGGCTGCCAAATCCTTGATTATTGCATTTCTCATACTTTCTCGTCCCTTCAAATTTTACCAAGTTTGATTGGTAGGTACATTAATAAAGTAAGAACTATGTGTTTGAAGTTTGTGCATTAGAAAGAGAGTTAAATTTAATAACAAATTTTTTACTTAAAAGGGAAAGTTGCAAAATTAGTGACATATTTGAGGGATGGAAGGAGTAAGACTTATACATAATGGTTGAGGTTAATGCAGAAGATTAATAAAGTAAAAACTGTGTGATTGAGGTTTTTGCAGAGGAGAGAGAACTAACTGGAACCACAAACTCTTTACTTAAAAGGTAAGTGAGTAAGTGACAAAGTTAGTAGAACAATAAAAAAAAATTAGCAAAGTTTTAAGGGATATTTTCCAAAAATAATGTTAAATAAAAAGGTATTTACCAAATTAAGATCTAGTAAAAAATATTTCCCAAAACAGTGCTACCAAATTAAGATCTACTTATCAAAAAGAGAAAATTGCTCCTGGTAGGACTTAATCAAAGCAATTTTATAAAAATAGTATATACGTATGTTTCTTCCTTCCGTAAGAGCTATGTAGTTCTAATTTTGAAAACTTGATTTTAAATTTCCAATTTTACCCTTACTGTCTATGTATTGCCTGCTATGGAGTTATTATTCGAAATTATTGTCTGTTTACTGACTACTTAATGTCTATATATTATCTAGTGTTTGCAAGTTTGATTTTGGATCTGATTTCTTCAATAGTTTGGCAGAACACATGGGCGTCCACCGCCACAACACATCATCGCCACCACCGTACCTCACTGATTCTGATACATCTCGTCGGCGCCCCTGTTGGAGGAGGTGATGGAACCAGATGAAAGCTCAACAATGGATAATGGCGGCAGCGACATCGTCGGAGAACGGCAGCGGTGGATTTGCGCCGCCGCCGAATGAAAGCACAACGGAGGGTGACGGTGGCAGCAGACTCGTCAGAGGCCTGTCATGGTTGTTCTTCTAGACGGGAACAACGGCGGACCAATCGAACGGCGGCGGCGGGCCTATTAGTCGGCGGCGGCGAATCTATCGGACGGTGGCAGATCTATTGGACGGTGGCAGATCTATTGGACGGCGGCAGATCTATTGGACGATGGCTGAATATGATGTGCGGAGACTGAATAGTGCTCGAAGAATAGAGGAAGGGCAAAATGAAGGGCAATTTGGTCAAAGCTCATGTACTTAAGTCTTACCCTAATCTATAGTTTTAATTTTGGAAAATTAGTATGATTAAGTACTGTATGTTGAAATCTCCCTATCAAAAACCGCTTCTTCGAATGGAGGCTTAGAGTAACGCACCTAACATGCAATGAACAGGCCAAAAGGAGAAGGTGAGGTAGTGGACCCACCAAAACAAAAAATCTCATTTTTAATTCAAAGTGAAATACTCGGAGTAACTTTTATATTTGTACTCTTATTATTACAAAAAATACACCAAAATTCATAACATTTTATTATCTTTCATATGACATCAATATCGAATATATAAAATAAAAAAATGATTTAACACTTTAAAAAATATCTTTTTTACATATATTTTATCTTTTTTGTTAGTATTTCGATTGTTACAAAAAATATATCAAAATTCATAGCTCTTTGTAATCTTTCATAACACACCAATTTTGAATATATAAAAATTAAAAAATTATTAAATAGTTATGTAACAATCAGAGAGTTTTTTCCCAAAATAATGATAAATAAAAATTCATCGTTTTTGTTTATTGTTTCTCTCTGTGCAGTTTTATTGTGTCTATGGTAAAAAACGATTCTAAACTGCATATTTTAAGAAAACTAATTTTTTAATTTTTATGTATTCAAAATTAGTGTCTTATGAAAGATTACAAAGAGTTGTGAATTTTGATATATTTTTTGTAATAATCGGAATACTAACAAAAAAAATAAAACATATAAAAAAATATTTTTAAAGTGTTAAATTATTTTTTTATTTTTATATATTTGATATTGAAGTCATATGAAAGATAATAAAAAGTTATGAATTTTGGTGTATTTTTTGTAATAATCAAAGTACAAATAAAAAAGTTATTTCACTATGAATTAAAAATGATATTTTTTGTTTTGGTGGATCCACTACGTCACTTTCTCCTTTTGGTCTGCTCATTGCTAGGTACGTCCTGTACTAAGCTATGGTTCGAAGTGGTTGTTTTAACCCGGGATTAGGGGAGCAGCATTTTGGTAAATACTTTTAAGTGTACTTTTTTAGGATATTTTTACTTGGACTATAATTTGTTGGTCTGGTCTAGTTTGGTCTGGTTTGAAATTTCTTTTTTTATATTTTTTGCATAAAGATTTTATTTTTTATATATATTATAATCCATAAATAGATATATTTTTTATCATTTATAATTAAAAATAATAATAGTAATAATACTAATAATACTAATAATAATAACAATAACAATGATGATGATGATGATGATGACGACGACGATGATGACGATGATGGTGATGATGATGATGATGATGATGATAATCATAATAATAATAGAAATAATAATAATAATCATAATAATAATAATAATAATAATCATAATAATCATAATAATCATAATCATAATCATAATCATAATCATAATAATAATATTAATAATAATAATAATAATAATAATCATAATAATCATAATAATCATAATCATAATAATCATAATCATAATAATAATAATAATAATAAAATAATAAAATAATAATAATAATAATAACAATAATAATAATAAAATATGATCTGGTCTGGTCTGGTCAGGTCTGTTCTGTTTTAGTCTGGTCTGGTCTGATCTGGTCTATTTTGGTTTGGTCTAGTCTGGTCTGGGATGAATTACAGTCCAAGTAAAAACAACCTTATTTAACATTATTCTGGGAAAAAACTCGATGAAGAGAGTATTATACTAGTATTATCCAATAAACCTAGCAAAGGAACCTATGAAATCCAATTACATTTAATTTTTTTCCAACTATATTACAGAAAACAAAATTTATAAAGAAATATTCCCTCCGTTCCCAAAAATACTTCTCACTTTCCTTTTTGGGTTGTTCCCAAAAATACTTCTCACTTTCCCATTTTGGACAATTTGTGTGGCTCACATTCATTTTACCTTTTTCTTACACAACCACAACCATACATTTCCACTTTATTCCACTTTCTTAATAAGTGTGTCAAGTCAAACCGGGAAGAATTTTTAGGAACGGAGGGAGTACGATTCAAGATTATTATTATCATTACAATTAAGGTCACGTTTTTACACGTGCCTTTATTTGGCAAAGTAAATTGGGATTAATTAAAACCAATGCTCGTTTAATACTCACAACCCTTACTCTCACTATTATCTACCATGCTCTTCTTCTCGAGGTGAATTCAAATTAATGCTCGTTTAATCACAATTGTATTTCTTTCATATGTGGTTCTCTATACATTGAAAGGAAGAAGTGTTACCTAAGGGGTTGAGACGAAGAATGGTGAAAGTAAAGTGGGAGTAGGAATTGAGAGTATCAAATAAACATTCGTTTGTATTCAAATCCAATTTACTCTTGTGAACACCATTGCTAGTTCAAAATATTTGTTTGAATACTCCCAGTAAAGATTATTACCGTAGAATCTTAAAAGTAATGATTTTTCTTATGAATTTCGCCTAATATTATTAATATTATTATTAAATAATACTTTTTAAAAAAATACTATCCTCCGTTCCATAAAAGTTGCAACAGTTTGACTTTCACGTTTGCTAACGCGCAACTTTGACTGTAATTATAATTATTTACGTATTAGTAAACATTAAAAAAAGTTAATATATTGGAAATTTACATTAATACAAAGTTATTAATATTTTATACATAATATTCTTATTATATATATTATTAGAAAATCGTAGTCAAAGTAAGGTGTGTGAATAGTGCATAAATTCCAATGTTGCAACTTTTATGGAACGGGGGAAGTATTAAATAATTAATTAAAAATGAGGTTTAAACTATTAGATTTTATCCTAGACTCCTAGAGTATCTTATACACTAGCTATCACTTTAGTTTGTTCTTTGCTATTGAAGGATCCAAGTAAGTCCACTATCCCTTGCTCCACAGGAAGTGAGATTTTTTATAATGTTTTAGCTGATTTGGGTGCAAGCATCAATTTGATGCCCTATACCTTGTATGAAAAGCTTGCACTCGGTCCGCTTAAACCAACACGTATGTGCATACAGCTCCCTGACCGATCAGTCAAATATCCCCAGGGGATTGCTGAAGACGTGTTGGTTAAAGTGGACAAGTTTGTTATTCCCGTTGATTTCGTTGTTTTGGATATGCCCCAAGATCTTGATATGCCCTTAATTCTTGGAAGGCCTTTTCTGGTCACTGCTCGGGCCCTCATAGATGTTGGGGAAGGGAAATTGATTTTGAGAGTAGGGGAGGAGAGAGTTACTTTTTGCATGGCCAAACTGGCAAAACACTCATGTCAAGGTGTTAATGTGTGTTTTTTGTTGGATGTCATTGATACAACCGGAGAGGAGGAGGGGAAACCTCCACCTCTTAAAGAGACTGATTTTGACTCGTTCATGGATAAAGGGCCTGATAAAGGCTTAGACTCATTCTTGTGCTTTAGGAGTGACCTAAAGAAGCGCAATT